CGCGGGCGGGAGCCGGGCTGAGCAGACCTGTACAAAATGGAGCAGAGCGATCTCAGCCAGTGCAGTCTCCCTTCCCTTCTCCACCTTCTCAAGGAGAAACACCCTTCGGGCTGTACAGAGAGTGTGTTGTTACCGTCAGTCCTTATTCTTTGTTGGCAAAAGAACAGTTCCACCCATCACCTCTTTATGCCTCTCCCTGCTCCCTTGGCCCCGAGGAACTTGTGGATCATTATTTGGCGCTGAAGCATTTCTAGTCTAAAATAATAAAAAAGTAGGGGGAGGAGGCTTCTCATCCTGTTCTGGCTATGTTTTCCTATGAAAAAGATGTGTTGCTGCCTATGACAGCAGCTTGTTTTCTGTTAAATTTTAGACTTGTTTTTCTCAGTGTCCTGAGGGTAGTTGTCATAATAAAGAGAGGAATTGCCAACAGATTGTCTGAATGCTCTTCACAGGCATCACGAAAACATCGTCAGGTCTTTGTGTGTCAGAGTGTTGGAGGGGAAGGCACACATGGTGCTTGCCTTAAAGACATAGAGCAATGAGCAAGTGTGGGTTTGTGCACTTAGGCCCTGGCACTGAGTAATTGTCATTTGTGCCAGCACGTACAAACAGTTTGGTCATTACTTCCTGCAATTCTTCTACGTGAAGTCAAATTATGGATCACGGCAGACCAGGAGTGACATCAGAGGGGGAACACCAGTCCCCACCTGGACAAAGTACAATAAGCCTTTGGTTTCTGCCTTTATTCCCAAGGGAAGCCAGTCGAGCCTTAACTTCCCTCCTCTTCCCCTCTCCTTGGACAGCGGGAGGCACATAAAAACCCATTTGGACACCCCTTTGGTAGCGTGTCAAACGTGTCCTGGGAAAAGATGCTTCCATTTGGTACGGAAACCCTTAAATAGAGGACTTCCCTTTTTGAAATTTTTACCCTGCTTCCAGAAAACAAGCTTTAGAGTGGGTGGTGAGGGACATACCTGGCTTATGCCTGCTCTGATTAATCCTAATTTCTATCTGATAAGACACCTTTATTCTTGCTTCTGTCAGTACGGGGAGGTGTGACTCGGTGAGAGGCTGCGCTCTGCAGCTCGGCTGGGTGTTACTTGGCCGAATCCCTCGGCATGCAGGGCTTTCTGCCTCCGCAGCGCTGTGCTGGAACTGCAAACAGCACGTGAATCACTTGTATTTTTAGGGCTTTTTGCATTGTCAGAAGAGTGAAAAAATTATCTCGGAGTCAACGGAAATAGGACCTGGCGTGAAGTATTGCAATGTTAGAGCTCAGCTCTTACAGTAAGCTTTGTTTTCCATTCTTTTGTAGGGTGCTTTTGGTTTCAGTGACGCTGCTGTCTATTTATTCAATATATCTCCTGTTGGTGTGTTCAAAGGAAACAGGTAATTTCAGATGTTATTATACCATTTCAGTAGAATTGTAAACAACAAGAGGTGAAAAGTGCTCAAATAAGGCCTGGTGCTTTGCGTAAGATGGAGTTTCTGTCACTTTGCTGACACAACAGAAAGGCCTAACACATTTGGGGTCAGAAGCCCAGAATTAACAAGAATTTATGACATGGCAATGGGGAACAGCATCTGACCATGACTATAAAGAGAGAAACTTATGACAAGGAGGGAATTCTGCTACCGTAAAATGTTGTCTTCAGTGAGCTGGAAGGAACAGCTCTTACAGTTTCTTTGCATTACAAAACCAATTACAAATGAAATATAATGAATCTTGGCCTATGGTGAAGCTTACCTGGAAATACAGTTTGTCCTTAGTGGTTAGTGTGAAATTCCTCATAGCCTTTGTGACGTAGTAGGAAATTTTCTAGAAGAAAATAAAAGGGAACAGTTCCTCCACAGAGAGAAGTTTATTCATAAGAAAAATATATTCTAAACACAGAAACTGGAAGTTACCTACAGTGTTAAATGTCACTGTGCTCTGAAGTCCAAGAGTCCCTTTCCTTGGGTACCAATCTCTGAAGACAGATTTTTAAAATTACCTGTGCACAAGAACACTGTAATATTTTAATACACAACTTGGACACACATGAGTTACTGCTGTAGCATGTATAATGGCAGCAACTGCCTATTTAAATTAGGTACGTATGCCTAATTGTGGACACGTTTGTGCCCTGTTAGTTCCCAACATCTAAGCCCTGGTTTCTATGCTGCTGGTACATTTAAGCTCAAACTTACTGTTTATACAAGCTTCAAAGCAGAAATGTCAGCTATAAGGAAATATACAGAAAACCAAAAAATGGGATGCATTGTAGAAATCATCTGTACAGTGTAACATCTGCAGTATTTCTCTTTCTGTTGTCATGTATCTCGCCATCTTCACAATGCCCAGTATTCTTCTCAGCCTAAGTCACAGCCAAGGAAAAAAACAGTTAACAGAAATGCAAACCAATTAATAGAGGAGTTTGTCAAGCTTGACAGATATTTAAAAAGAAGTTTTAGTTATCTTAAGCCTTTCCCTGCATTTACCAAAAACATACCACACTGAGAATTCACAAGTTAAGGCTTCACCACTAGAAGTTGTAAATCACCCTGTGAGCCGGTGGCTGCCCTTGGTTGGATGGTTTGGTCAAAGCAAGCGAAACGGCAGAGTGGCGGCAGTGTCTGTGCTGCGGCCAGGCTGCCCGCGCCGATCTGGGCATCCTGCTCTGCCCAGGTTTGGCTGGAGAGGAGGCTTTCTACGTCCCGCTCATTGCCGGTGCAAACCTGGCATGCCTGGAGGGGGATCCCAGAGCTTAACGTGTCACCAGGGGTACAGAGAGACTCATTAAAGGGATGTAATAGCCTCATTAAGAGCTTCCATTTCAAAAGTGACCGGTAGCCAACGATAACATTTATAGACGTCAAGAAAACATTCCTACCGAAGTTTCAGCCCCAGTAATTACAAGCGAGCTCTCTATGTGCTTGCAAAGGGCAGATAGGGCTGTACAGATGGGTGGTTAGCTGCTCAGGAATCATGACTGTTTCCACTCAACAGCTTTTGCTGGTGTGTTTGTTACCCTTCTCCTCGTTTCTTTTCATGCAGGCTGCATGGTGTATGAAAAGCTGGGTGAGCAGGTCTTTGGTACCCCGGGGAAAATGATTGTCTTTGGATCTACATCTCTCCAGAACATTGGAGGTAAAAGAGATGGGGAGTATTGAAAAACAAAACCCAGGAACATCTTAATAACGTTACAGCTACCAACTAGCCAGGTTCCTCGTTCCCTCAGTGGCATCTTGGGATCGCCATGCTCCCCAATATAGCTGTGGCTAATGCTTCGCATGGAGCCCTTTAAGAATGCTGTATTACTGAATGATCAGTAGTTTACAGTCAGTTACAGTTCGGGGTCTTCTGTCATCAGATGCTGATGTGGGAAAAGGTTCAGGATGCTTCTCTTTACTTGTTCCGCCAAATGTCTTACCCATGTTCTAAACTGACTTTCTTCTTCCTCCAGCAATGTTGAGCTATCTCTTCATAGTCAAAAATGAGCTGCCTTCTGCCATAAAGTTTTTAATAGGAGAAGAAGAATCTTTTTCGTAAGTTAAATTAATTTTGGTGATTAGATTATAAAATTTGTGTAGATAAGTTTAAGCATATGTTTATAAAAGCTCTTAAGTATTGGATACTCTTTAGGTTTGTCAAAGTAGATCTTCACAGGAGTATGTCAGGGGGTGAATAAAAACCAAGATAACTTTGGGAAGGAAAAGAGGATGGATAGGAAATGGAAGGTTAAGTCAGTAGTTACTCTCTTCGCACACCAGATTTTCATGAAGAACTGTGATTTATACCAATCTCTTACCAGTCTTTTACAGCATTAAGCGACACTTCAAGATATTGGGAACAGTGCAAGTTTAAGATATTATGTATTTCCCTGTGTTCTTAGCATCTTCTGGGATTTTGCCCCTGCAGCACTGTCTATAGTTTGAAATTCTTTGATACAGGCATATGACAACAGGACAGTATTAGATTTCTGCCACTTATCACCCTTTGACATTTGCCAGCTTCCTTAATAGAGGGGAAGTACTGCTTTACAGTGGTAAATATCCTTTGCACTGGGTTATATGGTGTGCTGTAGGGCACGAGAAGAAGGTAGAAGACCCATCCCTCAGGCTCTCATACTAAACTGGACCGAGCAGTGGCAATAGGTCATACGGAGCGTCACTGACGCTGTCCCTTCTCCCCTTTCTTGCTTTCCAGCAGGATTCAAAGCACTTTGCTAGAAGGAGATGGAGCCTTGGGCTGGCTAGTGTGTGCCAGCCCACCGGAGCCTGCTTTGCCGCTCTCCAGGCACATGCTCGGGTGGTTTAGCAACCAAATCGTGGTGCCCCGCCTGCCCTCCTTGCCTGGGGGCTTATGTCAGGTCTCGGAGGGTGTCGTTCTGCCTCTTGGTCCCACTCCCTGATCTCTGCAGTAGTCTGATGTTTTGTCGAGCGATGATGAAAATCTGCCGTTATCCGAGTCAGAGCAGTGCCATGTTTGAAGGGCTGGATACTTAATGAGTCTACAAAGCGTAGATGTGGCCCCCAGCTCTCCTTTGGTAGGAGCTTGTAGGGTAAGGAGACCAAAGACAGTTCTGTAACTGCAGCAATCAACGAGGATGACTGAGCATGAGGGAAACGAGAGAGAGTTTAAGGTGTGCTCATGGTGGTTTTCTTTTTTAATGTTTTATACAGGGCGTGGTACATGGATGGGCGGGTTCTTGTTGTCATGGTGACGTTTGGTATAATCCTCCCTTTATGTCTCCTTAAGAATTTAGGTAAGATGCAAATGCCATTGAATAAAATGAAGGAGTTCAGACATCATGCCACTGACAGCCACACTGGCAACTCAACTATAATAAAAAAGAAATTGTGGTCTCATTGTATTCTAAGCAGCCTCCCTGGTCCAGGAATAAGCTGGCTTTTGAGCATCTTGGAACAAGTAGGCCTAAATTGTCACGACGGTTGAACTCAGTATAAACCAGGTTCATCCATACGATTGTGAAATTGATTTAAAAAATTATAGTTAAGAGGGTCTTCATTTCGTAAGGCAATTCTGTTTTATGTATAGCCTGTAAAAATAAGTTCACAGATTGTGAGATTACAAAAAATAATTTATTTTTCTATCAGCATCGAAAATTTTAGTGGTGAGGTTAATTGGAGGTATTGGACTTTGAAGTAAGATCTAGATAGAGGATTGCATTTTCAGATATGTCCGAGTTCACAGAGATGCCAGTAGGTACACAGCGTATTTTTTAAAACCATGTAACAAGTTTTGACACTGAAGTCCTATTGGGATCTTCCCTTTGGGAAAATAACCCATACTCAGCTGCTGTGGCTCATATCAGGGAATCTGGGTCGCGTTCTGATTGCAATTACACATTTTCAGGTTTGTTTCAATTTTCACAGCCCCTTTCAAAAGGGAAATTAGTTAAACTGCTGTAAAGGTGACCCTCAGGAAGTCAAACCAGTCAGAGCAAAGCTTGGGTCTGTCTGAGAGCCGGGAGGCTTGCGATGTGGGAGACTCTCACACCAACAGGGCATGCTTGGTGTCCAGAAGCTCATGATACGTATTAAATGTATAATACATTTTTTTAGATAGATATATATAGTTAAATGTACGATACATTTAAACTTTTAATGAAGCAGCAAAAAGAAGTAAAAACCAAGATATGGCTAATAAAATAATTTTGTATGAGATTTCCCTTTAATTTCTTTCAGGGTATCTTGGCTATACCAGTGGATTTTCATTAAGCTGCATGGTATTTTTCCTGGTAGTGGTAAGTTCAGCTTGCTTTCTTCATTGGATGAGAGCCACTTGATAGTATATTCACAATTTCTCTGATGTTTTCATTTCAATTTGCTTTTTATTATTGTTTTTAGCAATCAGCTGTCTTCCACTCTTATTCTAGGTTATTTACAAGAAGTTTCAAATTCCCTGTGGCGGATTGGAGCTAAATACAACATCATCTTTCCTATCAAATAGCTCAGCACATGAACATATGTGTAAGCCAAAGTATGTTATCTTTAATTCCAAGGTATGTTTCTTTTTATAATACTTATTTTTAATTCACATAATATATGCACCTACACCCCGTGTTCTTAGTCCAATCAGCACCACGCAGGGCCTGATTCTCCATGCTTCCACTCATGCTCCACTGGTGAACGTCCCGTGGGTCTCCTTGCTCAGTCCGATGGAGATGCTGTGTTGACCGTCCCTCCTTGGGGTCTTGCTCTGCCCCGGCAGTGGATGTGCTAAGGCTGTGAGCCCCAGCTACCACCGGACAACGAATGCTTTCTTTGGGAGAGTTTTCCTTTCCACTGCTTTGTAACTACCCGTGCTGCAACTGCACCTTTAGGCTGTAGTTCAGCAGAGGCTAAGCCATTCCTGCATCCAAAGCCCAGGAGTAATCCCACTGTCCCGCTGCACACAAACCACTTCTTTGTGACAGGGTGCGTGCTTCTGTAGGTGAACTGGATTGAGAAAAGGATACAGTTGAAAGCTAATCCAGCAAAAATTTGATTGCCTTTCAGCTGGATGCTTTCCTCCATAACCACACAGCTGCAGGAAAAGTTGTGCCAAGAGAATGCGAAAGAGCAACTGGCTGTAGCTGTGGGAGCAGGAGGATTGCTCCCGTCAGCTGTGCTGGGCGCAGGGCTCCTTAAACAGCACCTTATCCACAGGGCAGGGTCCTCGGGGGGTTGCAGTTGCATACATAGGGAATGCGCAGGTATAGCGTATGTGTGCAAAAAATGAAATTTTTTTAAATTCATCCTACCAGCTTCAGTTGAAGAAGCCAGTCTGAGCACTTTTCTTTAGTTGGGGGTAGCCATCAGCCCAGATCTGCTGTGACAGACCAGGAATTAGTTAACTTGGTGTGCAATAGCAGCGTAGGTGTGGGTACATTTTAGGTAGCGTTGAAGGGCAGTCTTCTTCTCCTGCAGTAAGTGCCAGCATTTGCCTCGGAGCTGATGGAGGCACATCGGAAGGATCGGTCCGTCTGAATTAGGCACACTGGAGCCGAACTCGAGAGGTTTGCCCTCGGGACCAACAGTTTGCCAATCATTTTAGCAACTTGGGTGTATGAGAGGAGAGACAGTTTCACAGAATCAGAGGACGGCTGAGGTTGGCAGGGACCTCTGTAGATCATCTGGTCCAACTCCCAGCTCAAGCAGAGCCACCCAGAGCCAGTTGCCCAGGACCATGTCCAGGCAGTTTCTGAGTATCTCCAAGGATGGAGACTCCACAACAGTGACGTGCTGTGAGTGAGGGAGAGGAGGCTGCACAGGCCTGGGTGAGGAAGGGCCACTGGAGAGCAACTGCTGTATTCAGTGAATCTGTCAGGCCTGGGGTGTACCCCAGGATGGCTTCTGTGGGAAGGGGATGCCTGTGGCCAGTGCAAACGGGTCTCAGAGGGCCAGGGAGAGCTTCATCTAGGGATGGACTCATTTTGTCCTCACATTTTGTCCTGGTTTTTGTGTGATCGCTGCTTGTACCCATTCCCTGGGGAGAATGGAAGTGCTCGGGCACTGAGATCATTTGTGAAGTTTGGCTGTACACTGAGGACTGAAACCCACTTGGGTTTTTGGTGGAGAAGGGGGTGATGTCCCCCCCCCCGGAGGCCTCCCGCGCTTCCTGGTGACGTAACGGTCTCTCTCTTTCCCCAAGGAAAAGCATACTCCCTCCCTCCGCCCTCCTAGCCCTTTTGTTGGCCTGGGAAATGAAGGGACTCAGTCTGGTACCTTGAAATATCCATTTATTTGTAAGTTCTGCATTCCTCTTCTCTTTTCTTACAGTCTGGATATGGGCTTCCTCTTCAGGACTTCAGCCTTAGCACCACGGGTGCGCACCCCTCTCCATGCCAAGGCAGGGTAGCGTAGCGGTGACCCACCGAACGTCCCTTTTACGCATGACGGTGTGCTAGTAACGGTGGCAGTAGCTGGGCAGGGAAACCCATCCCAGGGAGCAAAACCAGCAGCCACGGGGCATCCAGGGCTGCGCTCCGTGAGCAGAGTCAGGACTGTGCTCGCGCAACCCAACGCGAAGACTTTGTTCTCCCGTTGAAAGAGCGCCGCTCTCCATATTTCGTTAAATCCATGCTAATTGACAGGTCTTCTGCCTTCTCTGAAGGCTCTCAACATTCAGTTGAAGAGTCCCAAGAGTTGGGAGCTGAGGTAGTTGAGCACAGATCATTTCTTCACGCCGCTGGGGGAAATACTTCTTCTTAACTTCTTTTCTGAAATTCTCTCCGAACAGACTGTGTACGCTTTGCCCACCATTGCTTTTGCGTTTGTGTGCCACCCGTCAGTCCTCCCGATCTACAGCGAACTTAAAGAGTAAGCCTTTCTCTTTCTTTTTTTCCAGTTAATTGTTTTGCACCACTTTACATGGAAAATGTTAGTGCAGAGGTGCTCTGAGTCATTCCTGCCATTTGGAGGAAATGTGCTTTAATAATGCCCAACAAGCCAATGAGCGTGGCTGTCAGCTAGGAAATCTGGCCTCCCCAGCGTGCCGCTGGGACGGGGTGAGGGAGGTGGAGGATAATGCAATACTTTGGGAGTTTTCTCTGGACGTACACGGCAGCCTGGGGAGAGCCCAGTTGTGCCAGTCGCTATTTGGCACAGGAGAGAGGCGTGTGTTCAGCTAACAGCATTTGTTCCAGTGCAGCTACAAATCTGTTGCGGTACCAGGAAAAAAAAGTACTTTCAGCCTCGCCTGTACTAAAAGACCTTTGCGGGTACCGCTGTCTCACCGACAGCTCCGACTGGGCAGGGCTGTGGGGAGCTGGAGGCCAGCCCTGCTGCGACATCGCGGGCAGCCCTGGGGGGCTGCAGTGGGGTCCTGGGCCACGGGGGGAGCCCCAGGGGAGAGGTCGGGATCAGTGAGATCCACGGGTATCCTCAGGTCCGGCCATTTGCTGGGTGCTTTGAGTTTCAAGTGACTTCAGCAGGTTCCTGTGTGGATTTAAAGGTCTTAAGTTTAAGTACTGAAGTGTGAATATTTCAGAACAAATATCTAAAGATGAAATGTCTACACTTACCTATTTTACAGATCTACAGTGGTCTGCGTACATTCATTATTTCTACCCATGGGGACACAAATGTTTCTCTGCAAACTTTCAGAATGTTGGGTTTTTCCTCCTCTGTGGAAAGAGAAAAAATACTCTTCCTTTATTTTGACCTTTTAATTTAATTACCAAAGTGTTTAAGGGCCAGCCCTCTCCACTCGGCTTCACTCTTTGCTCTGTTGAAGCGGGTACGGCCGGAGAGCAGAGCCGCAGGGCGGACCCACCATTTCTTGACTGAAGCCCCAAGCGGGGTCCGTTTCCCCAGTCCTTCTCTTCCTTGTGCAGCTGTCAATGAATGCCTGTTCTAAATGAAAATGCATTCATGAGTCTCCCCAGAGTTACTATGTTTATGAAAAGACATAATACATTTGTAAACAGCTATTGAAAAATCCAACCCAACCATTTTTATGTGTTCTGTTTTTCTTCTTTCTCCAGTCGTTCACAGAAAAAAATGCAGTTGGTTTCAAATATCTCATTTTTTGCGATGTTTGTGATGTACTTTATGACTGCCATATTTGGCTATTTGACTTTCTACGGTAAGTATGCAGTTCTTTACTGATCAAAGTAGAAAGGGAATACATGTGAAATCAAAAGCATATCCTAGCTGGAAAGGAAAGTCCCATCCACTTATATTAAAATACTTTTTCAAATTATTTTCCTTCAAGTTTTGATATTGAAGGTACAAATCCTTTCCTCCTTTTCCCCTTTGGATGAAAAGCACAAGTGAAAGTATTATTTGCAAAAGGCATATTCAAAATTTGGGGGAGAGATTTAACAGAATTGGGGATTAGCTGGGCCCCACTAAGGTTTTCATTCTGAGGTCCTCGCCTGAATGTTGTGTACATTGGTAATGACCGAAGCATGCATATCTGCCTAAAACGAGACAGATTTGAGAGCAGGTCCTAGGAAACGAGTATCAAATCAGCCATCACAGCTTTTTCATTTTCTTATTGACGCTTTCGTCATGGAGGTGAAGGACCAAATGTTTTCCCTGTATCCCTAGAGCTGACCCCTTCAGGTCTTGGTTAAATCAACTGGCAGTGAAAGCGGGGAAGCTTAGAGTGTTGTCCCAGCTCAGCCACAAAAGGATGGTTATTTAACTGTTTGAGACTTCCACCCTGTCTCTTTTCATGCATATCAATTCACTTAAAGAAGCAAACAAATTATGTTGTATCGCTACAGGATACAACACCTATGCCCTAAAGGCACAATTATTAAGGAAAGTAGGATAAAATACGAATGTTGCCCAGGAAGCTACTCCCATGTTCCAGTATAATGGGAATGTTGAAAAGTAGAGTCTTTTTCCATGGACCCGTAAGGGGTTACAAGACAGATGACAAAGCTGATGTTTGCCTTTTACCTCAGAGTGACCAAACGGTCGCCGCTCTCCTCCACCCTATCCCAAGTGACATTTTTCTTACCATCTCCTCATTCATGATAACCGTTCCTGGTGAGCCACATGTTGCGAGAGAAAGAAAATAAATAAATACGAAATCTGGCATGTTTATTTTTTTCAAAGGTGCACCTCTCTCACATTTGTTTTCTCAGGCTCTCATTCTGACTATGAGGCCTTGAGTCTGCATGCCTTGAAGTAACTTGAGGTCATCTGTTCTAACGTTCCCAATAAAACCGCAAACGCGCTGCAAGTGACAACAGCGACAGCCGTTCTCATCCAACTGCTCCCGTCTAACACATTTTCATAGAAATGCATCAAGTTAGCAGCCCCGGGGAGCAAGTGGGTGTAAATCAGCATGGACCCCTTCGCTTTGGCAGGGAGGAGATTCTGATGTGATTGCCCCAGGGATCTGAGGAGGCAGATCCGTGGCGCTCCTCTCTGGGAATCTCCCACACCCCTCAAGGACGAGGGTCTGGAGTCCGTGGAGGAGGTAGGGGCTGCGTCCTTCTGGCCCTCCCGAGGGGGAATGGCGGAGGAATCCCTGGGGGGGGGTCTCGTGTGCCTCTCCCCACGTCAGGCCTCTCCCCGCTGCCCAGCGCCCCGAGCCGGCGGGTGGAGGCTGCGTGGCTCCGCCGGGGCCTCTGCGAGGGTCAGTGCCCTGACAGGCAGCAAGAAAGACACCGAGGGAATATAAAATTCCTCCACTTTGAACCTTCTTCCCCTCGAGACTGGCATATGTTGGCTTACAGTTTTCTAACCCTCTTCTCTACCCACACCTGGGTAAGAACAGCATTTTTATTGTGGCCATTTCTCCTTTACGCCAATAGTACTTTGTCTGTTTGCTGTGTTCTCAAAAGTGTTGCAGTGATGACTATATTTACATTGCAGAATTACAGAAAAGAGGTGTTTTTCTTCCCCTAAAAGGTCACACTGTGGTTGGGCTCTGTGGTGTATCTAGCTGAAAGGAAAACAGACCTTCAACTGTAAGCCCTGCCCTTCACTTCCTACCTGGCTGCAGTCCGTGAGCGGGACAGAAGTTGCAGTCTGTGCTTGCAGGAGCAGAGTAAGCTCTGTGTCGCAGAAGCTGTGCATGTGCCCGGCTTGAAAACCCCACTCCTAATCTGCAGGGAGGTGGGAGAGCGTTTTCTTTCTCCTGGTGGGGATTCAAGCACTGCGTAGGTGGTGTTGACCCGTGGTCTCTCCCCAGAAGGGTGTCCTGGGGGGGGAGCACAGGCATTTCGCCGCAGGACAGGTCCCTCTGCCTCCAGGAATAGATGAGGTTTTACCAAGTGCCAAAGATTTTAAATTGGACGTCACCACCGAGTTCCCTTTAAGGACTTTGGTTTCAGAGCTGTTATGTTTTACCACCAGCTTTCTAAGATTACCAGGCAGAAGTAAAGCATGAACCTAAAAAGGGGCAGCGAGTATGTTTTGTGAGCCGTCCCCTTAGGTTATTGCTCCTAGATATGTAAAAGTTACAGAGCAAACACGTGGGTCCCTCAGCGGCTTCGCTTTCCTGTTGGTTAGCGCACACAGACCCGCTCTGCACTATTTATCACAGCGTCAAGGAAACATTTTTGCTAGAGGTCGTCTTAAAATATCACCAGCACCTCCCCATTAGCTCCCCCCTCGCCACTCCCCCCCCCCA